ACGATTTCTCATGTTTGGTGACTTTGCATGTAGCTGCTTTTAAAGCAGCATGTCCCGCCGTGAAACCCCAGCCCTCAGGCCCACGAGAGGGGATACCCCTGTAAGATCCACACATACGTGTTTCCCTCCTCCCCATCCAAAAATCAAAATGTCAGCCGGTCTGAGGGTTGACCTTCCTTCTGTCGGGTCAGTCAAGAAATTAACAGGTGCTTCTTTCTTAGTGGAAACCCCGGCACACTTAAATATGTCAAACAAAACATCTATAACCATATCGTGCCTGTATTTGAACCCCGGGAGTTCTTTACAGTGAACTGCATGCTCTCCAAAAGAGTCCAAACATGTCTTGCGACACACAGGACATATCTCGTCAGCTGGGAATATGGGAATCATGAGTCGATATTTGAGAATAGTACGATACTCCACGGGAGACATGTGTTGAATTAGGGACATCCAATCTATAACGGTGAACGGAATGGAAAGGCGGGTTGCAAATTTTTTGGGTGGTATCGTCGGGTTACCATTCCTTCCAAGCAAGCGGTTTAAGTGGGTTTGGAAAAATTAGTTTGAGCGGCTTTTAAAAACCGCAAGAAACTTTATCAATTTGCTTTGTGGGTCATGCATCTCCTTTTTCATTTAATTTTCAAAGAAAAAAAAAACAAGAAGCATAACATGCATATATGCAAACGTGGCGTTTTATTTATTTGTTTTTTTTTTCTACATAAGTTTGTATACATATATATCGAAAGTAGATATATATTACAATTCAAGCAATAATCACTTGTGCATTATGCATCAAAACTTGTACCAAAACAAATTTATATGTTTTTTAATTATTTTCTAAATTAGTTTGTATATTTTTAATATTATGTAAATTAGTTGTGTATAATTTTTATTAGTTTGTGTTTATTTTAAAATAAAAAATTAAATGGGTTGAGTGGGTTGGGAAAAATAGGATTTCCATGTGTTGTGGGTTGAGAAAGATAGAAGAGAGATGAGAGAGAAATGCTGATGTGACGCTGAAATGGCAGTGGGTTGGGAGGGTAGGACTCCCTCCACCCTAAGAGTCAAAGCCTCTACTAGTGGCTAGTCTTTACATTAGCTGATAATTTTAATATATAATTAAATAAAGGATGTTGTCAATTATTTAAATTTTAAATTGTTAATTTGTAATATTTGTAATTGTATATTCGTTTGTCATAGATTATGTGATTTTTTTTATTGAATCGTTTATAACTTTGTTAAGTTTGTGAATTTATGAATCGTTTGAAAAAAGTTATGTGATGAACATGAATTCGGTAGGTTATGATATGTTAAATTTGTAATTCTTTTGTGATTCTAGCGAGAGTATAAAGGTTCTTCAAAACACAATTTTTGCTTGTAATTGAACGTTTTTCTTTTTGCTTGTATAGTAATTATGGATGTCTTTATTTAAATTAGAAAAAACATCATAAATGGTCCCTGTGGTTTCCCCAAATCTGAAGTTTAGTCCCTGTGGTTTAAAAACGTCATAGATGGTCCATGTGCTTTCAAAACTTTTGACGATTGGTCCTTATTGCTAACTCCGTTAAGTTTGTCCGTTAACTAAAGGGCATTTTCGTCTTTTCACGATCACATGGACCATTTTTGATGTTTTTTCTCTTATTTAAAAATAAATAAAAAAAGAAAATAATAAACAAAGGGTCTCTCTCTCACACACACACACTACAATGCACATGAACACACTCCCTGAAGTTGTCGGTGGCGATCGTGTGGGATGCTGTGAAGATCACAAAAAATATTAGAAGGTATCAGATATATCTCATAATACTACTCATAGATCTCTAGATTGAGATTGTGTTACTACTCTCAGGCTCGTTCTAGAAAGAGAACAACTGTCTCTGGATATGGAGCCTTCGCCACCTCTGTTACTGTAATCTGGAAACTCGCTAATGGAGGTGCTAGTTACAGGAGTCAAGTGAGTCTCCTTCTATAAAGAGCATCAAATTTGGTTTAAACATTCCTTCAATTTTTTGATTTACAACATTTCATCGTCTGGGTTTTTGATTTGCACCAATTACAACATCTCATCTTCTGGGTTTACGTCCATCTCTACCCCCCTTCTACATAAAGAATCGATTACAAGGGTGTAAGTGTAATTATTCGGATTGATTCCAAATTTTTTTAATCTCTCGGAATACCCTTTCATTACCCATGGACTAAAACTGGTGTACACGACAACATCTGGTTTAAATGAATCTAAAATCAAGTTTGGCATATCTAGCTTCTACCTAAGAGTGGATCGAGTTTGAAAAAATAGTTCTTGGAAATCTTGAAAAAGAATCGATTTTGTCATATCTGTCACACCCCGAAACCGATGGCGGAAACGTTCCGGGGCGGAGGACGTCATGTATAGCATCACAACCAATGAATAACAGCAATCATAGCAACACAACCATTACAGTGAATACTTAAATAAAGATGTTTACACCAGTTTGAAACTTAGTTTAAATTACATCCAATAGTTTTGTATAGTCTAAACTTAAAATTCTTATTGTTCCCGTTCCTCGAAAATCCAGCAAATACCTGTCTACTGATTTCCTGAGAATACAAGCAGTTTAAAAGAGTATCAGCATAAAGCTGGTGAGTTCATAAGCGATGGTTTGCAGTGAAAATCGTTGATGAGTTCGGAAATATTTGTATAGTTTCAAGAAAATCCGATATTTTCCTTAGTGAAAATGTAGTGTTATCAGTTCTGAAATAAACCATGAATATCTGTATGTTTCCAAGAAAATTCGATATTTTCTTTAGTGAAAAGGGGTAGCGTTATCGATTTCGTATAAAACCATGAATGTTCGTTACTGAAAACTGTAGTGATATGCGAAAATACGACCTCATGTGACTAGCTAAAACTAATCATGAAGTGTAAGTATTTTATATGTGAACCCATT